GGGGGGGGGGGGGGGGGGGCGGGGATGAGACAGAACAGCTCTTAAGGGGAATTGAAAATTCATCTCCAAAATGAAAGCATTACTCTGTTATTGTTTCCTTGAAGATACCATATACCATTTATGTTAGCCAGAGGCCAAAGGCAATAACCAAAATAATACTAATTACATTGGAATTACCTAATCGAACCATTCCTGGTTCTCACAGTTTCTTTCAGCTCCTTTAAACCATAACAAATGGAACTCAGATTATATGCAGGATCCCACAGGAAGCAATTCCAAGGAAGAGTTAAAAGCATTCCCAATTTCCAAAGGTAGCAACCATAGGACAGACTGGGTTTTTTGTTTTTGCTTTTGTTTTTGGCTAGGATGTTAGAGATGGGTGGGGAGGGGCTGTAATTTGACTTGTAAAAGCACTTGACTTACGATTAGTGAGTTGGATTCTAGAAATGATTTTCCTTAGCTTTCGTTTCTGTCTTTTGGAGAACGTAATTTTCCTCAACCCAGCATGTTTTAATTATAACTGTTTATTGAAGATACAGCAGATAAACCTTTCAGTTGAGTTTTATTAGTGTTTACAGCAGAAATAATGCTTAGCATAGCTTCTTGGAGGAGAATCTGTTTCAAGGGGGGCTGCTAGGGTCAGGGTTATACATTTAAACAGCAAAACAAAACAGAGCAAAACCTGGGAGTCTACAGGTTTCTCTGTTTGTCCTGCAGTGTTAAGGAAAGCTCTGAGGCATTTTGACCCTTGAACAGAAGGGCTGTCTGGTATATGTGCATTGTTGTGCCTACATGCTGGCTCAGAGCTCGCTCACCTGCAGCGTGAGGCCACAGGGGAGAAGGAAGGATACAGGGCATCCTGGTTCCTCTGTGGCCCCTGTCCAGGAGCTGGAGGGAGTTTTGCCTGTAGAACTGCTAAGAAGAGGATGGTTTTTCCCTGAGAGTTCCTCTGTAGCCTTGGCCCATTTCCTTCCCCTGACTTTTCAGCAAGAGGGAGTTTGGCATGTGACTAAGAAATTCATTTTGCTTCTTTTCTGGCAAGAGCTGAACCAACCACTGGGCCAGAAATGCTTTTCAGAAACATCACTCTTAAATCATTCTTTTGATCAGAGACCTGCTCAGAGCACTTTCTTCCTTTTACTGGAGCAGCAAAGAGTTTGAATGTTCTAGGAGCTCTTACAAAGGATAAGGCTAGATGTGTTTGAAAGCTGGTGAATGGAATTTTCTGATCAGCAGGTAGCCTGTATTTTGGGGCCAAATGGCACTCTGTCCAAATGGAATATTTTTAAACATGCCCTCTCAAGGTGTGAGAAACAATAGTTCATGTCTTAGCTGAGACAATAATTGTCTGCTCCTGCGGGGACAGGAGAGCAGTAGACAGGTACAATTCCACCTTCTGGTTTCTCTCTTTGTCCAGGGGACCTGACGGGGTACAGCTTGAGAATGCTAACAGCAGTGTCGCCACTGTGACTGGGCTGCAAGTGGGAACCTACGTGTTCACCTTGACCGTCAAGGATGAGAGGAACCTGCAAAGCCAGAGCTCTGTGAATGTCATTGTCAAAGAAGGTACCTCACTGCCTTGGGTTGGTGCAGCAGCCTCTGGGCCAGATAACTGAACAATGCATCATCTCTTGTTTGGTTGCAGAAACTGATTAGAGACAAAGTAGGGAAGGAAGTTAGAGGTTAGGGTAGCTCTTAGTTGCTTTTCTACAACAGCCTTTGAGTGAGCGACTTTTAAGGTAAATTTTAACTTCTTGTTTTCCTTCCCTTCCTTCTCAGTTGAATAGGGAGAGAATTAAGGTTTTTTTCCTTTATATATTTTTTTAAAATAAATTTATTAATAAATTTATTTATTTTTGGCTGCCATGGGTCTTCGTTGCTGCGTGCGGGCTTTCTCTAGTTGTGGCCAGCGGGGGCTGCTCTTTGTTGCAGTGCGCAGGCTTCTCACTGCTGTGGCTTCTCTTGTTGTGGAGCACAGGCTCTTGGCACGCGGGCTTCAGTAGTTGTGGCACTCGGGCTCAGTAGTTGTGGGTCGCAGGCTCTAGAGCACAGGCTCAGTAGTTGTGGCGCACGGGCTTAGTTGCTCTGTGGCATGTGAGATCTTCCCGGACCAGGGCTCAAACCCACGTTTCCCTGCATTGGTAGGTGGATTCTTAACCACTGCGCCACTAGGGAAGCCCTGCTTTTTAAATTTTGGGGTCGCAGGTCTAGAGCACAGGCTCAGTAGTTGTGGCGCACGGGCTTAGTTGCTCTGTGGCATGTGAGATCTTCCCGGACCAGGGCTCAAACCCACGTTTCCCTGCATTGGTAGGTGGATTCTTAACCACTGCGCCACTAGGGAAGCCCTGCTTTTTAAATTTTGTCTCTGCTGCTGGGGTTTCTGTGACTCTCCTGCTAGCTACAGTGACACCTGCTGTCAGACCTTAGAATGACTGCCCTGCACTGTAGCTTCCCATGCTCATCCTAGGAGCATGCATGCTGAGGCCAACTTGAGCAAAAGTGGATTGGCCTTGCTCTGGTTTGCAGGCACAGTGATCAGTGATGGTCTTGGGAGAGGTCTATAAGCTGATGGTAGGACAAACTATCAGATATGCAGGTGATCCCCAAACACCAGTATACTGAACTCAGTGAGTAGAGAGAGAGCACACACTGAGTAAACAAAGCTGCAGGTGGGGCCCAGAATAAGAAAAGTGTCTCTCTTCTTTTTCTCTATTAAAGTGCTAAGGAAGGAGTCAAAAAAGATGTTCAGAGAATAACATTTTCAGCCATATTTTGAAGATAATTTGTGGTATCAGCTGATGAAACCTGAACTTCAGGGCTTTAATCCACTTTAGGCCTTCGTTTCTAATCATCATATATCCCCAAGCAGAGAAATGGATTCCTTTGGGGGCGGCTGCTATGAGAATACAAGAGGAAACTATACTTGTCCCCTCTACTGTACTGGTGTCCGGGGAACATTTCTCTGGGTGGGACTGGAGCCACAGGACCTGTGGCACTGGTGGCGTTAGCTCTACACTGTTAGTTGCTGGCATGGGCATGGATAAGCACTTAAAACAGTTCTCCATTTAAGATAATTTTGAAGTTTAATTTCCTTATAAGCATCACGAGAAGCATTTCTTCTTTTTCTGAATGTTACATTTTTTCCATGGTTTCTCTTTGTTTAGAAATGAACAAACCACCTATAGCCAAGATAACTGGGAATGTGGTAATTACGTTGCCCACAGACACGGCAGAGCTGGACGGCTCCAAGTCCTCAGATGACAAGGGGATAGTCAACTACCTCTGGACTCGAGACGAGGGGAGCCCAGCTGCAGGGGTGAGTGTGCCAGCAGGTGGAGAGCTACACAGGTCAAGGTGGTGCAGTGAGGAGAGGAGGCTGGGCTAAACACTCCAGTACCTGTTTTAACCAAGTGGTCTCTTATGTCAAACCTGGATTGTGCTCTGAAATCCAGGGAGGTCAGATGACTCGCTTAGGGTCACCCCTCAAACTAGTGTGGAGCAGAATGTGATTCTTTTCCCTGATCCTGGTTGCTGTGGGCTGTAGTGCCATCACGGAGCAGGAACTGCCCCGAGTCAAAGCCGTCTAGCCCAGAGGGGACTTCGTTATGACAGACACAACAGCTGACTCCACGAAAGGAGTGTGGTTTTGTTCTGCCGTATAGCCATGTCGTTCAACCCCACAGGAGGTGTTAAATCATTCTGACCACCGCCCTGTCCTCTTTCTTTCCAACCTGGTTGAGGGAACCTACGCATTTCACCTGAAAGTGACTGATGCGAAGGGTGAGAGTGACACAGACCGGACCACTGTGGAGGTGAAACCTGGTGAGTTCACTTAGTGAGGAGTCGGGGTGGAATTGCTGGATCAGCCTAGGAGGGCCTCGATCTTGAGACCCTTCCCCCAGCATGGACAGAGCCAGATGGCATATCCAGCTTTAAAAAAATCTAGAACCCCCAAGCTAAGAACTCCTTAGAGACTTTCTGTTCCAACAAGACCTCTCCTACCCATGCAGAAATATGGACCTCCCCTTACTTAGCTCAGATGGAGAAACAGAAACTCAGAGAGGGCAGGGCTTGCTCAGCTTCACACAGCAGTTGTGTCAGAGCCAGGCCTTTGGGCCCCCACTCCAGCACTTTCTCCTCTGCGTGTGACTGATGAGAGAGGGCTCAGGGTGCTTTGGGAATCTGAGCACAGGAATACCTTGAGTCATGGTGCCTTATCAGTACCCAGCTGCAGAAAATGATTTATTTTTGTAAGTTGAGCCTCAGGCTTTATCTGACAACCCCCAGGGAAGGTAAAGTAACTGGCATCCTTTACATTTTTAAGATTTGCAGAAATAAAATTTCATTCTTAAATAGAACCATGTTTTTGTTTTGTATCAAGGCTAATTTGGTAATAGGGAGACAGTGAGTACAGGGTGGGGTAGAGCTTTATAAATTCCTGAACAACTGATGAGAAGGTATTAACTTTAAACCTACTCTTTATTATCTAGGCCAAGCTAATGTACAGATGTCTTAGACGGGAAGAGATCTTGGCAGGTCTTCCAGTCCTTGTCCTACCTCTCTGAAGGACAACAGCCAAGACACTATAAAGTCTCTTCTGTGTTTAAAATCAGATCACAGATAGTCTACTAATTATATAAATTATACATGAGGACAGGCAAATGGTGCATCCAAGTATGTGAACAGGTATTCTGAATAGTCACTTTTAGCTTGGCAAGTGTAGAATAGTCTTTAGGACATAATCAAAAGTGTAAAGCACAATGGTCCTATAGTTCTAGAGTTGTAGAAACGTCGTCCGGCTGTGATGTTGTTTTAAGGAAATCCTTGTTTCTTGGCTGCCTGTATTTCCTTTGTGTTTATGGTTTTCAACACTGTGGGGCAGATGCATTCCCATAAGATTGTTGAGATGGAAAATTTCCCTCCCATTGTTGTAGACAAAGCACAGCAAGTTACTGAAAATCAGATTGGATCAGGAGAGATTGCTAGCTACCTGCCACTTGGCCTGGAGAGTTCAGCAAAGCCAACTGGGCAGAGACTTTTAAAACAAACCTTGAAGTGTTTCTCTGTTCCCCACTTCCTTCATTAAACCCCATCACTTCGGCCTGGTCCCCAGCACATGTGTGGTAATTGCCAGGTTGGTGTAGAGACCAGGAGTGCTTCTGAAGCTCTCCAAGCCAGCCCCAGATTGCTGGGTACCAGGACAAAGCAATGGGGAGTTCACTGTTGTGCCTTTCCATTTTGAAGGAGGGCAGTTGCATTTCTGAATGCTCTCACCACATTCTCTCCTGGGCCAAAGCACATGCACAGTGGCAGGTCTATGTTAATTCTCCTACTTCTAAAGCCATGACTGATCCACATGCTTTCCAGATCCCAGGAAAAACAACCTGGTGGAGATCATCTTGGATGTCAACGTCAGTCAGCTAACTGAGAGGCTGAAGGGGATGTTCATCCGCCAGATTGGGGTCCTCCTGGGGGTGCTGGATTCCGACATCATTGTGCAAAAGATTCAGCCGTACACGGAGCAGAGGTAGCTGGGCAATGAATGGGGGGAGAAAAGGAAAGACCAGGGGGTCCCCCGGGCTTCTTGACTGAGCTGAGAAATAGTGTGGGTAGGTAGAGAAGGGTGGGCTCTCTGACCAGGAACCACTCATGGTGTTTATTTTATTTTATTATTTTATTTTTTTTGCGGTACGCGGGCTCTCACTGTTGTGGCCTCTCCCGTTGCGGAGCACAGGCTCCGGACGCGCAGGCTCAGCGGCCATGGCTCATGGGCCCAGCCGCTCCGCGGCATGTGGGATCTTCCCGGACCGGGGCACGAACCCATGTCCCCTGCATCTGCAGGCGGACTCTCAACCACTGCGCCACCAGGGAAGCCTGGTGTTCATTTTTTTAATGAAGAAGAAATGTACTCTTCTAGTACAGGTAATGGGCTCTGTACTAGACACTGCAGCAGGGTGCAAGGTCAGAAGAGGTCTATGATGTTTGAAGACCATAGTCTAGTAGGGGAGATAATCAAGTTAACATATAGCATCAGTACAGGGTGGATTTGACAGAATAAGTGCTATTGTAAGCAGATAGTGTAGGGGGTCCCCAGAGAAAGAGAACCAGGCATGGCTTTCTTGACCTAAGCAAAGCCATTTTTGGCCTAAGCCATTTTGTGATCTAAGCTTGGCCACAGTACTTGCCCTTGAACAGGTCTCAGTAATGAATGATCTTAAGGGAAAAAAGGAAGTCAGGAACAGGGAGTTCCCTGGTGGCTTAGTGGTTAGGATTCTAGGCTTTCACTGCCTTGGCCTGGCTTCAGTCCCTGGTCGGGGAACTGAGGTCCCACATGCCGCATGGTGTGGCCAAAACAAAACAAAACAAAACAAAAAAGAATGCAGAAACAAATGACTCTTTTCAGGCAAGAGAAGTAACAATAGCAAAAATAGTAAATCAGTTGTAAAGACTCCCAGCTCTGTCTCAGTGGTAAAGGTAGCCTGAAGTACTTGACAGCCAGATCAACTGGAACCTAAGGAGCGATGATATCGACCTTTTCTGACCCTCATGACCCTCAGCTTAAACCTTGGACTCTGTCGGCTTTTGTCCCAATTCTATGCTGAATTCTCCTCTGCTCAAGCCCCTTCATGAATATGCATGTGCCCTGAGCTTAAAGCTTCCGCGGTTTTGCTGCTCACGGAGACACAGCTTTGGGAGAGATCCCGGTGTTCTCCTTACTTGCTGCAAGTGATAAAAGTCTTCCTTCTCCTTGTTTTTGGCTTGGTTGTGTCTTTTGGCTCAACACCATGTAGAGAACCCAGTTTTCAGGTAACACAATCATGGAGACACAGGCAAGGGCAATTAATTCCAGGAGGGTTGATTGAGGTAGTCCAAAGATTTTCCAGAAGTAAAACTTGCACTGATCAAGCATAGAAGGACTAGGAGGAAATTCAGAATAGGGGAACAGCATGAGCAATGGTCCTGTGGTATGAAAGTACGGAGTTTCCTCTGGAAGAAGTCCTTGGGTTCAGAGCATTTACTGGGCCCTAGGATATGGGGGACAATAAGGCTGTCTCTGTAGACTAAGAACAGTCATAAGCAAGCCAAGCAGTTTAGTTTTAATACTTTGGATAGGAGGACTCAAGTTAGTTGGTTTTATATGTGTGAATTTTTTGTTTGTTTTGTTTTTGAAGCAAGGATATTAGGTGTTTTTTTTTTCCTTAGGGAGATCGGTAGTGTGGAGGCTAGACTAAAATAGGGAGAGATCAGGACATCCCTTGCAGTCCATTTGTTAAGACACCGTGCTTCCACTGCAGGGAGTGCAGGTTCAATCCCTGGTCTGGGGAACTAAGATCCCGCATGGCACACAGCGGGGAACTAAGGTCCCACAGGCTGCACCGCTCAGCCAAAAAAAAAAAAACAACAGTAGGGAGAGACCAAAGGCTGGGAGACCGATCAGGACGCTTTTGGACTAGTCTAGTAAAAAAGGTGATAACACCTGAATTGAGGTAGTGGCGGTGGAAATGGCAGAAGAGAAGAGGAAATGAAAATAAATTCAGAGGTAAATCAGTAGGACTTGGTGACCTTTGGGGAGTGAAGGTGAGTGAGCCATCAAATAAGAGGATTTTTGTTTGGATGCCTAGATAGATGGTGATTACCATTAACTGAGATTAGGGATCCAGTTTCAAAGAAAAGATAATGAGTTCAGTTTTGACTGTTGAATTTGGCGTATCTTATGGGTTACATAGGGACAGGTAGTAGCACATATAGGCTGGAACTTGAGGTGGAAGGGAAGGCCTGAGGTAGGGAGTCACTACATACAGGCAGGCGTTAAGGCCATGAGGACGGATGAGTCATGCTGGGAGAGTGTCAGGAGGGTTGAGGAGAGAGCTCTGGAGAACATCAATATTTAAAGGGGGAGGCAAGGAAAGAAGGGCCAGCAAAGGAAAGTAAGAAACAGCCGTCAGAGAGATGGGAGGAAAACCAGGTGGGAGCTGTCTGCTGGAAGTTAAGGGACAAGCTGGCAGTAAGGGGCGCTGCCAAAGGATTCAGGTGCTATAGAGACAGGTGTGGTGAGCACGCAAAACAGGCTTTTGGGTTTGTAATTAGTAGATCATCAGAACTATAGTGAGATCATTTTACTTAGATGCTGGGAGAAAATTTTTTTCATAGTTTGAGGATACAGAGATGGTAAGTATAATGCCTCTTTGAAGAGGCTGGTGTTGAAAACAGTATGGGAGACAAGCTCAGAAGAACACCTTTTAAAGGTAGGAAATACTTGAACATTTTTATGGACTGAGGGGAAGGTGCAGAGGAACGGTAGATGGTGGAGATTGGGGAGGCGGGTTATAAATGGAGGTAGGTCTGGGGCGCTGACTATGGGCAGAGCAGGAGACCACTTTCCCTGGAGGCAGGAGGAAAGGAGGGAAGATGTGCTATTATGGGTGAATTTAGAAGTAGAGAAGGATGAAATTTGAGAGTATTAGTACCAACGTCCTGTTTTTTTCTCTGAAACTGGAGGCAAGGCCATCTGCTTTGAGGAGGTGAGAATGAGGTGGGCAGTCTGAGGAAAGTGGTAAAGGTTGAGAACAGCAGCTCCAGGAAAGGATGCTGGCTTTGAGCAATATTGGAGTCTCAACTAAGGTTAGAGACATGAGGTGAGAGCAGCGATTCCCAACTCCAGCTGCATAATAGTATCACCTGGAGCTTTATTTATTTATTTATTTATTATTATTATTTTTTGTGGTACGTGGGCGTCTCACTGCTGTGGCCTCTCCCGCTGCAGAGCACAGGCTCCGGACGCACAGGCTCAGCCGCCATGGCTCACGGGCCCAGCCGCTCTGCGGCATGTGGGATCTTCCCAAACCAGGGCACAAACCCACGTCCCCTGCATCAGCAGGCAGACTCTCAACCACTGTGCCACCAGGGAAGCCCACACCTGGAGCTTTTATGAACATACCATTACCCCAGCCTCACCCCCACATGATTATGATTATGATTCAGTTGGTCTGGAGTGAGGTCTGGGTACCTAAAATTTTAAAACTCCCCAGGTGAATCTAATATGCAGTCAGTGTTCACTGGGTCAGAGACAGCATGATGATTAGGACTTTCTTTTTAACCTCTGCTCAGCAGCCTGGGAATAGGAAAAGGGAAAGTGGCTGCTGGGATCGATCAAGCTGGTGGGAATTGGCTGGGACAAAGCAGTGGAAGACACTAGCGAGAGTGCAGGTAAGAGCATTGCGGAAGGGTTTGCTTGCACACTTGCCGTCACTGCCTCTGGGACACGAGGAAGAGAGAAGCATCACAGTGACTCTGGGTTTCTGGCTTGGCCTAGATTGGCTTAGCTGAGGAATTCAGGAGGAGGATATGATTAGAGGGAGATAGTGTATTACAATGGGAAAGAGCATGGGCCTCACACCAGGCAGACCTGGCTTCTGAGCCCTGCTCTGTTAGTGGCAGCTTTGCGACAGTGGGCGGATTACTGCACCTCTCCGAACCCGTTCTTCACTTATAAAAATGCTAGCACCCGTGTTATAGGGTTGTTGAAGATTACGTAAGATAATGTTTGTGTAGAGTCTCTGACACACAATGAGTTAGTGATTGTTATAAGTTTATTTTGGAACATGTTGGATTTGAGATGCCTGTGGAGGATCTGGTATAGATACTCTAGCAAAGCATTTGCAGATGCAGATTTGGTCACTCAGGAGGGACGTAGGGAGAGGAGACAAAGATTTGAGGGTTATTTGTACATAGACAAAAATTGAAACTATAAGCATGAATTGGGTAACTAGGAGAAAATATGAGAAATGACCACAGATTTCTTTAAATTAATTTTTATTGAAGTATAGTTGCTTTACAATGTTGTGTTAGTTTCTGCTGTACAGCAACGTGATTCAGTTATACATATACATATGTCCACTCTTCTTTAGATTTCCTTCCCATTTAGTTCACCACAGAGCAGTGAGTAGAGTTCCCTGTGCTCTCTAGTAGGTTCTCATTAGTTATCTGTTTTATATATAGTAGTATATATATGAGAAATGACCACAGATCTTTTATGGAAAAGGTTTGTTTCTTGATTCTGGTGGTTATAATACCCCATTGTTAGCCTCACTATGCAGCAAACTTTTAAAAGTATTTTAGGACAGGGCTTCCCAAACTTTCTTTTTTTTTTTTTTTTTTTTTTTTTTTCTTTTTTTTTTGTGGTACGTGGGCCTCTCACTGTTGTGGCCTCTCCCGTTGCGGAGCACAGGCTCCGGATGCGCAGGCTCAGCGGCCACGGCTCACGGGCCCAGCCGCTCCGCAGCACGTGGGATCTTCCCGGACCGGGGCACGAACCCGCGTTTATTGCATCGGCAGGCGGACTCTCAACCTCTGCGCCACCAGGGAAGCCCCCAAACTTTCATGTCAATCCACCCATAGAAAATGATGCTGTTTATATGGCACTTTGGGATAAATAGACAATTATACTGGAAGCAGCTGGTCCAGGGCCTCTGGGATACCCAGGTCTCACCCAGCCACCCTGTGTGCTGTGGGGATCAATACGTGGGGCTCACCTATAAACCCAATGTGACCCACTGATTGGGAAAGTTCAGTTTGTGAGACTAACACGGAATCACGAAGCAGGCTGCCACAAATGGAGGCCAAGACAGAGAGAACAGATTTTGTGCCACCCCGAAGTGGGTTCAGACATGGTCTACCTTGGACAGAAGTTGACGGTCAGAAAACAAACAGATTCTGGGCCTAGAATAACATAATCTTGCACCGGCCACACCATTGTGGAGGGTCTTCATTGTTGCTGTCATAGTAATGATCATTTTGGCTATGTTTTGACCTATGGATAATGCTTTGATGCTGTCCAACAATTTATATTTTACAAAGCACTGTGGTTTGTCTCATAGATAACCCAGGCACAAACCCAACAACACCACACTCTTAGCTGTTAAAAGGCTGACAGCAGGGATGTACCCGTAACCAAATCCCCATTTTTCTGGTCTCCAGTTAGCTTTTGGAATAGGTCTTCTTGTTAGTTGGGGCAGCTTAGGCCTTTTCTAAAAGCATAGGCTTTAGAGTCAGACATATCAGGGTTGGGATCTGGCTCTGCCATAATTAACTGTGTGACCTTGGGCAAGTTACTTAACCCCTCTGAGCCCCACCTCTATAAAATGGAGGTGATGCTGATAACCCCTTTCTCACGGGCTTCCTGTGAGAAAATGTGTATAACACTTAGCACAGGGTCTGGCACAAACAGAAGGTACTTAGCAAATGATAGCTACTGCTCTCAGTGTTGACAGCTTCAGCTCATTCATACTGTTGCATGTCTCTGCAGCACCAAGATGGTATTTTTTGTTCAAAATGAGCCTCCTCACCAGATCTTCAAAGGCCATGAGGTGGCAGTGATGCTCAAGAGTGAGCTGCGGAAGCAAAAGGCAGACTTTCTGATATTCAGAGCCCTGGAAATCAATACTGTCAGTGAGTAATTCTGGGAAGTTGGGAATGAGAGTCCACCCAGTGTCCACAGCTCACCTGTCAGTCCCTGCTGTCCTTGGGCTTCATTTCCTCTTCTCTGGGAACAAGGAGATAACCACTTTCCTCAACTACCATTTTTTCTTGAAAGAGTCTCCACTCATTGCAGAGCTTCTTAATCTTCCATGGGCCCCTGAGATAGCATTCAGAGGGGCTGTGAGTTTGAATGGGAAAAAAAATTACATCTTTATTTTCACGAACCTCTAACTGAAATTTATTGTTTCCCTCAATCATGAAGGTAGGCAAGAAACTACAGTTAGTATTAACAGAACATGTGACTTCAAGGCAATAGAAATCTCAGATAATTTTGTATCATACTACATAATGAAATAGCATTTTTACTCGTCACCACTTCAAAATTATGACAGTTGTTAGACACACTTCTAGATCTTGTTACTTAATATTTTAATAAAGACGCACATATTATTTTAAAGTTCTGTAGTCTTAAATACTTCAAAAACATGTATAGTATAATTGCCTTCCTTTGTAATACTATGTGTTTTATTTTGGCAATTATTCAGAGAAGGGGGTCTGTGGGACATGAAAGATTAAGAACTGCTGATATGGAGAAACAGCAAGTAAAAACAGTCTGGAGCCTTTCTAACTGCTCCAGTTTTATCCATGATGATAATAATGGGCACTGTGTCCAGCTATAAAGGTTCTTGGGGCAGGTCTCCAGGAAATGTCATCACAGGCCATTGAGCAGGGGATCCCTTCGTATCTTCATGGGCACTGGAATTTGGTCAACCCCCGGCTCTGACTCCCCTTGACTTTTTTCCCTTTCCTGCTACTTTCAGCATGCCAGTTGAACTGTTCTGACCATGGCCACTGTGATTCATTCACCAAACGCTGTATCTGTGACCCTTTTTGGATGGAGAATTTCATCAAGGTGCAGCTGAGGGATGGAGATAGCAACTGTGGTGAGTTTTTCTGCTTGGAACTGTGCCAGCTGGTTTGGCATTGAATGTGGCTCTGAGTTGAGTGGGTGGGTGTTGGTGTTTCCAAGGCAGATGAGCAAGCAAGGAGAAGAACTTCGTGTATTTTCTGTTTGCAGAAGGACTTTTACTTCCTTCCTCCATGCTTGCTCAAGGTTAGAGGAAAGCTCTGAAGCAGTTTTTTGGTTTTGGTTTTGGTTTTTTTTGGCCTCCCAGCACAGCTTGCGGGATCTTAGTTGCTTAGTTCCCCGACCATGGATTGAACCCAGGCCCTGGCAGTGAAAGCGCCGAGTCCTAACCACTGGACTGCCAGGGAACTCCCCTGAAGCAGTTGTTTAAGAAGAAACAAGCTTAAATCAGACCAACTACAAAATGCAGCCTAAATCAGACAAGCCGCCAGGCCTCCTGTCTCTTTGGAGTGCCTGTGTACTCTGGCCCCAGGGAAGCCCATAGGTTTCCACTCCCCCCTTTCCCTCTGTTAAAGCTCCTTACAGCCTGCCCCACTGCCCCAGGGTCTCAGAGCACAAGCTAGAAAACAGGGGCAATTCATAAGGTTTAAAGTTTCAGCTGCCTTTAACTCCAAGGTCTCACCTTCCCTGGGGAGCCCGAGGGGCCTTCTTGTTTACAGAGCGAAGCCATCTCCTGCCCAAGGTGGGCAGCCCAGACCTCCCTTCTAGCCTCGCTTTTCACTGTCCTTAATATTTTGTTTCTCTTGGCAGAGTGGAGCGTGTTATATGTTATCATTGCTTCCTTTGTCATTGTTGTTGCCTTGGGAATCCTCTCCTGGACTGTAATCTGTTGTTGTAAGAGGTAAGAGGGACTTTCCCTGAAATTTGTTCGGGCTTCTAATTACGTATTTATTCATTAGAGAGGTATCTGGCACCTTCTATATTGAGGGCGCTGAGTCCTGGGTTTCTTCCCTTCCCATCGCTGTTACATGCCATGGCCCACCCACGGCATGCACAGAAAAGTTCTCCTTACCTCTGACACTCCTGAAGGCAGAAGCACACTCCTTTAGGCTGAGTGGCTGTCACTGCAGTGATTTGCCACCTGGAAAACGTGGCTGTGGCTGGAGTGGGAGTGGGAGGCCCTGGGGTGTGGACCTGGCTCTTATCTCTAGGGTGTGCGGCCTTTAATACTCTACACCTCAGCCTCACCACCTTAGCACATGGGTTCTTTTTTTTTAAATTGGGGTATAGTTGCTTTACATTGTTGTGTTAGTTTCTGCTGTACAGCAAAGTGAATCAGCTTTATGAATACATATACCCCCTCTTTTCTGGATTTCCTTCCTGTTTAGGTCACCACAGAGCATTAAGTAAAGTTCCCTGTGCTGTACAGCAGGTTCTCATTAGTTATCTGTTTTATACATATTAGTGTATATATGTCGATCCCAATCTCCCAATTCATCCCACCACCCCTTTCCCCCCTTGGTGTCCATATGTTTGTTCTCTACATCTGTGTCTCTATTTCTGCCTTGCAAACAGGTTCATCCATACCATTTTTCTAAATTCCACATATGTGCGTTAATATACGATATTTGTTTTTCTCTTTCTGACTTACTCGGTATGACAGTCTCTAGGTCCATCCACATCTCTACAAAGGACCCAGTTTGGTTCCTTTTTATGGCTGAGTAATATTCCATTGTATATATGTACCACATCTTCTTTATGCATTCGTCTGTCGATGGGCACTTAGGTTGCTTCCATGACCTGGCTATTGTAAATAGTCCTGCAGTGAACATTGGGGAGCATGGGTCTTTTTGAATTATGGTTTTCTCAGGGTATATGCCCAGTAGTGGGATTGCTGGGTTGTATGGTAGTTCTATTTTTAGTTTTTTAAGGTACCTCCATACTGTTCTCCATAGTGGCTGTATCAATTTACATTCCCACCAACAGTGCAAGAGGGTTCCCTTTTCTCCACACCCTCTCCAGCATTTATTGTTTCTAGATTTTTTTGATGATGGCCATTCTGACTGGTGTGAGATGATATCTCATTGTAGTTTTGATTTGCATTTCTCTAGTAACTAGTGATGTTGAGCATTTTTTCATGTGCTTCTTGGCCATCTGTATGTCTTCTTTGGAGAAATGTCTATTTAGATCTTCTGTCCATTTTTTTGATATTGAGCTGCATGAGCTGTTTGTATATTTTGGAGATTAATCCTTTGTCCGTTACTCCATTTGCAAATATTTTCTCCCATTCTGAGGGTTGTCTTTTTGTCTTGTTTATGGTTTCCTCTGCTGTGCAAAAGCTTTTAAGTTTCATTAGGTCCCACCTGTTTATTTTTGGTTTTATTTTCATTACTTTGGGAGGTGGGTCAAAAAAGATCTTGCTGTGATTTATGTCCAAGAGTGTTCTTCCTATGTTTTTCTCTAAGAGTTTTGTAGTGTCTGGTCTTACATTTAGGTGTTTAATCCATTTTGAGTTTATTTTTGTGTATGGTGTTAGGGAGTGTTCTGATTTCATTCTTTTACATGTAGCTGTAGCACATGGGTTCGTAATTTGTCTGCCTTCCTTTCAGTTTGGGATTCTCACGTGTACATGTTTTTATGTAATTGTAGACTTAGGTTAGTCATGATTAAGTCTTTCAGGTTTTTTCATTTAGTCTTCCTATCTAGTCTTATAATGTTTAATGGTAACATTTATTATGTTTTTAATTATTAATAATAGGTATATTTCTATGTTTACTGTGTACCAAGCAAAAATGTATAAAATGTATATAACATTTTATACATTTTATAGGTAATATCTTTTTTAGTATGCATAACAACCTTTTCTCAGGAAAATGACCTTTTCCATGGACACACAGTTACTAAGTGGCAGAACTGAGATTCAGCCTGCAATATAATCTCACAATAAAACTTAGAAAATTAAAAGAATTTTTAAAAATTCCCACCAGCCTAAGACAACCACCATTAACAAGGTTTTGCTGGTTTAATGCTTTCCTCCACCCTATACCCTTCCAGCATAGGAGTGTCATTTTATTTACATTTTTAACCCATCTATCCTTCCTTCATTGCCACTGTGGAGTGGTGAGTCCATGATAAAATGATAATGTTTCCTTTACCTTTTCCCAAATTGGTGAGGACTATTTGAATAACAAATCACAGTTGCTACCTTTCCCAGCTGAGAAACAAGGAGAAACAGCCCTTTCATTTAGCAGCATCCCCCAAGACAGGACTCTGCATGCAGTCTGACTGCCACCCTGTGGTGGGCTACCTGAACCTCACACAGAACCTCTTTCCTGAGTAGGGGATTGTGTTTTTCAGACAAAAAGGGAAACCTAAGAGGAAAAGCAAGTACAGGATCCTGGATGCCACGGATCAGGAAAGCCTGGAACTGAAGCCAACCTCCCGAGCAGGTAGTGGCCCCGGGAACTGGGAACCGGGGGTGTCTAGGTTGGTGCACTCTCCCTGAAGAGCCACCACCACCACCAGTCCCTCCTAAATGTGTTTTTGTTGGCAGCTCTTTGTGCTGGAAAAGCATCTTGTCCCGTCCCTGATGAGGGCTCAGGGTCGGCTTTGCCTACTGGGCAAGCTCGGACTCCAGGGCTCACTTTTTAGTGGTCCTTTGACTGTGCCCAGGGGCTCAGCCTCTTGCTTTCCTTTGCCTGCTCGTTCCCCTCAGGGTTCCTGCCTGGAGTTCAGCTTTTCAAGCTGCCCCTGTAGTCAGGCTCAGGGACCTTGGTCTCTTATTCCTGATCAGTCTGTCCTTTCTGGGCAGACAAGGTGAGGCCATGAAGAGATCAAAGCCAGTGTCTGCCAGCTGGCCTCCTTGCCGCCAGCCATCCTCTCCCATCTTCCTCTCTCCAGTATTTGTCAGGTAGATCCACAGGCTCCATCATTGTCTTAGAGCAGGTGGAGGGCAGCTCCCCTGCTGGCTCCAGGTGCACTGCGCTCATCTGTCAAAGAATTTCCAGCTGCACAAGCATTAAGACGGCTTTCAGTGATGGGGCTCGGAGGGCCAGGGTGGGTAGAGGGCCCTCTGTCCTTGTCTGGACTAGGTCATTGGTGAGGTTCCCATTCATCATGGACGCCACAGGACAGGCCTCATCTCTTTAGGGGAGCTGGACTCTATATAGAGCTATTCCTAAACACTCTGCTAGTAGAACTATTTTTATACAAAGTATTTATTAAACGTCTCTCATGCTTAAAGCTTCGTATTAGGAGAGGCTGTAAGGGGACTACAGAGAGTTCTAAACCATAGGCTCTGCCCTCAGAATTTCACTGTAGTGAGGGAGAAGACATATGAGAAGAGAATAAATGCTCATAGGCAGTCTGGGCTCTGTCAGCACCCAGGCAGCTTGGTTAGGGAACACTGTGGGGCGGTGCCTGGAGGCTGGGGCCTAGCGAACCACAGAAGTGCAGCCAGAGCGCACACAGGATACTGAGGATGAGGCCTCGAGGGGAGAACGTTGTACAGCACCGTCTGCAAGGTGGGCAAGGTTGTGTTCATGTTGCTCTCGCAAGGCTTTTCCCCTCCTTGAAGTCATTCGCGACTTACTTTTGGTCTGGTAGACGTGGCCTTGGTGAGCTTACGTCACTGTGCTTTTCTGAGATCCTCCTCCTTGCTGGTATCTCTCTTTTCTAAACAAATTTTGTTGGTTCGTATTTCTGTCCAGAAAGCACTTTCTCGTCCTTCCCTTAACCTGCCAATTAAAGTCGTGCTTATCTTTCTCCCACATGTCTGTTTTGGCATTTCTCTCACTGTATTATATCAGTTATGTTATTGTTTGTCCACTTACTAGTCAGTAATATCCTTGAGGGCAGGGACTGTACCTTATTCATCCGTAAATATGGATTAATACCAGGCCCTATGCCAGATACTGGTCATATTACAGTGAACTAAACAGACGTTGCTCTCGTGTGGTTTATGTCGGGCCGACATTAAACAAACAAATTCACAAATATACGAAATGTGATAATGGAAGGTCTTTATAAAGAATCACACTTAAGCTGAGACCCAAGGGACGACAAGAAGGAGAGTAGGGCACGTGAAGACTCTGGGAAATAGGACTGCAGGCAAAGCTGGCGACGGCCCAGCTGCTGGAATGGGCAGAGGGGATTTGAAGAAGACAGGGGAGCATGGGGTGAGTGGCACAAGGCTGGACAGGTGAGCAGGGACCTTGCTGTGGGTTCCTTCTAAGAGCAATGGGGAGCCATGGGTAGTTTTTTTAAGGAGGTGCATGGTGCAGTGAGATTTACATTTTCAAAAGACAACTGTGGCTGCTATGTGAAGGAATTGGAGAGGCAAAAGTGGGTGAGAGGAGATTAGATAGAATGCCCTTATGGTGGAGAGATGATGAGATGGAGAGAGGCAGATAGGTTCCAGATACATTTGGGGGGAAGGCTTGCTGAGGTTCATGATATGTTTTCCAAGGCGGGTGAGAGAAAAGGAGAAGCAAAGGATGGTGCCCAGGCATCTTCTTTGAGCATCTGTGGATTGGGTGGTTTTATGACCCTAGATGCAAAAGACTGCAGAAAAAGCACTGGAGATCTTTTGGTTTAGAACAGCTATGAATGGGGTTGAGGAAATGAGGCTGGAGGATGAAATTATGGGGAGTTTTGAACATCAGCCTAAGGAGTTAAGCATTTATTCTGATGGTGATGAGAAGTGACATCTTGAAAATGCTGGCATAGTAAAATTAGTCTAGTGACAACATTTCATTCATTGAAGAGATTACAGGTGGAGGCCAGCAAGGAGATTCTTGCAACGGTCCGAGGAGGGATGATGATGGCTCAGACAGCTTGGTATCAGTGGGATGGAGGGACAGGAAAGGTCCAGGCTGCCTTCTGACATGAGAGACAGGGACTGATTGCCCTGACGACAGCATTAGGACAGTCGGTGCAGTTTGGGTAAGAGGGGACGAATTAAGTTGAACTCAGCAGAACAGGACTGGATAGGAATCTTCTGTATGCTGGTGACGGTTGGCTCCGCAAAAGTAGATCACATCCCTTCTGGGGAGAGTGTCGAGGGACAAAAGAAGAGTCCGGGGCTAAGGAGCTGAGGTGAGGGAGGAGGGGTGCCACCAGGGAGCAGTCAGCGTGCTTGCTGCTGCGGAAGAAAAGGGTAAGAATTGGTGATGACGGCAGTGACGACGCTGGAGAAGTTTCTGGTCACCTAAAGTACTGGAGTAGATGGTGAGTGATAGATGGCAGAAGTCAAAGTGCAGTTAAGTACGTAGGTGGTGAGAAAATGGAGGCCCTAAGTGCTTAAAAGTCCTTTTAGAAGTTGAGCGACGACAGTAAGTGGGGATTCAGGACAGGGTGGACGGGGTTCAGGAGCGTGTTTGCAGGCAGAGACGCAGAAGACAGAGGGGAGGGTCCTGGGCAGGGAGGAGGGAGGAGTGGGTAAAGGGCTTAAGACGGTGACGGGCAGGATGGGAAGGCAGACTTGTGGGGATAGGGAGGGAGCGGGGAGGGCTGCAGGTGGCCAGCTGCTCCCAGGTAACCAAGATGAGACTAGATGGGGATCGGCAGGCCCTTCCGTGCGCAATGTCCGCATGAGGAGGCGGTGAGAGTGGCCTTGCATCTGGTGTGGGTCTGACCAGGCCAGAAGTCCCGGCTCTTGTTCTGGGCTCTGCAGTGGATTCGTGGGTGCAACCCAGAGCGGAGTCACCAGTAGGGAGAGGAGGACGGGCTTCAGGACCAACTGTACAGGGTGTGGAGCTGAAGAAGTGCAGCCGGGAGGGGTGAGTTGAGGAGCGCGACGTGCGTGGGAGTGAGAGCCGAGCTGGGTGCCGCAGGGCGGGCTGGGCGTGGCGTGCGGCCACCTGAGTGAGCTCGGAGCCGCTGGCACCGAAGGCCAGCAGGCGGAGCGGGACACATGCCCACCCTCAGGAGCCGTGGTTTACATTCAGCAGTTGTGGGTTTTGCTTTGGTTTGGTTGTGCTGTTCCGTTGACTCTTTTTCAAGACTTTCTGTTGAAGTCTATTAGATTGAACCATATAAGATTACTGATAATTGACTTTTGACCTATAAAAATAGCAGTTTTCTGTGATTCAGTCTAATGTGTACAGAAAATCATAAGCACATTTCGTAAGTGAATGTACCAATGTAATCAGCCCCCCAGAAGCGCCCCCTTTGTGCTTCTTTCCAGTCACTGCCTGCCTCCCCCCAATTTACTTCTAATATCTTGGAGTAGTTTATATAAATGGAATCATTGGGCTTGGCACCTGTCCCTCAACATTGCATTTAGGACATCCATCCGTGTTGTTAGGTAGAGCAATCGTTCGTTCATTCCCACTGCCGTGTAATTTCCCTTGTAGGAATATATTTATTTGTCAGGTATACTGTTGATGGGCAGCTGAGTTCTTTCCATTTGGGGCTGTGATCGGGAGTGCTGCTGTAAACGTTCTTGCCCATGTCCTTTGGCAGACATGTGTATGGATTTCTGTTAAGTGTAGACCTAGGAATGGGATTGCTGAGTCAGAGGAGATGTATGTGTTCAGCACCCACTGATATAACCAGCTTCCTAGCTTGTATTGCTTAGTGGATGAATCCCACTCAGTTCTTCAAGCAGAGCGGGAGCTAGAGGTAGGAGGGCCCGGGTGAGTGCTGCGTACTTTGGAGCCAGCAACACGTCCCCCCTCAGGCTCCTGTCCTCCACACCTATGGCCCAGAAGGGCTTTAGGGAACAAGGGAAGCTTCAAGTGCTTGGATGCTGGAGGAGAAAGCCCCCAAAGGGTATTTCATCTATAGGGGCAAAACAGAGGTTTTGAGAATGTTGACGCTCCCCTGGTCTTGACGCTTCTTATGTTGCCACTGTCCCCTACCACATTGGAAAAGCCTGGGAAGCTGGTGTTCTTCTCTGGCCCTGCTGCTCTGCAGTCCTGAGAATCAGTGGGAGTTGTGGCCGTCCACAGTCATGTCCCAGAACCGTGCCCCTGAGATGGACAAGCTGGGCCCCAGAGCACACTGCACAGATGACCAGCACACGGGCAAGGTCTGTGGGGCTGTGGTTCCCGAGTGACAGGTGCAGTCAGAGTCTAGATGCCCTCATCGTTCACAGCCTGAAGTCATGTCTGGCCAGGAAAGGGCAGAATGCCTGAGAATCATCCCAGGACCTTCTTTCAGTGTTTATTGGGGATCTGAATGGGACTGGGGGAGGGAGAGTGATTGTTGGAGGATGAGGGTTCAAACACAGCTCACCTGACTGGTCACCTTTTTTTTTTTTTTTTTTTAACTCTTTTTTTTTTTTAGTGAGCGAGGGCTACTCTTCATTGCGGAGCACAGGCTCTGGATGCACAGGCTCAGCGGCCATGGCTCACGGGCCCAGCTGCTCCGCGGCATGTGGGATCCTCCCGGACCGGGGCACGAACCCGTGTCCCCTGCATCGACAGGTGGACTCTCAACCATTGCGCCACCAGGGAAGCCCCAAGCTGGGTTCTTGATGTTGGCAATTCCCACTTGTAGTTCTGCTGTCTCAGCCTACCTTTTGCTTACTCTGGAGTAGTATTTGTACCAGCCAGAGGGCAGCCATCTTGCTGTTGGATGGGATCTGCCCTAAAGCTATTACCAGACCTCGTGGTATGGTCTGGCCTCTGCAGCCATAAGGATGAATAGTGAAGGTAACTACAGTGACTTATAGAATCTCAGGCATCTTGGGACTTCCCTGGTGGCACAGCAGGTAAGAATCCGCCTGCCAATGCAGGAGACACGGGCTCGAGCCCTGGTCCGGCAAGATCCCACATGCCATGGAGCAACTAAGCCCGTGTGCCACAACTACTGAGCCTGTGAGCCACAACTACTGAAGCCTGTGCGCCTAGAGCCCGTGCTCCACAACAAGAGAAGCCACCGCAATGAGAAGCCCGCGCACTGCAACGAAGAGTAGCCCCCGCTCACCTCAACTAGAGGAAGCCCGTACACAGCAACGAAGACCCAGCACAGCCAAAAATAAATATAAAAAAATAAATAAATTTATTAAAAAAAAAATCTCAGGCATCTTTTCTGACCTCAGGTGCTTCTTATGGGTCCTCGTTTGTGTGTTCTGACCAGCTGATGGCTTGGGACAGTCCCCGCTTCAGTCAGGCTCTGCAGCAGAGGCCTCTCCGGGCCACATGCCTGCTCTCTCACCCCTTGTACCCTCTCAGCGAAGCCAGAGTTAACGTCTACGTAGAATGAAATTGTGTCCTCACTCAGTGTCAGCACCTCTGGCAGGCACTTTACATCCATACTGAGCCAGGGTACAGTGACAAAACTCATTCTCTAGAGCCTAAGTTCTTGTTCCTTGTATTTCCTGCCCCCCACAGAACTCCACCCTCTGCATAAAGGGAGGTAAAACATTCTACATTTAAAAGAGAGAGAAAAGAGAATGTCGTTGGGTGGCACTAACCAAAGCTAACAGATGCTGAAAATAAAGAATCCCCATTGGAACCTGATCGGTTGCTCTCTGAGGCTTCCCTGATGGACTGTCCCATCTAGCCAGGGCTGGGAGGACGTGGGAAGCCTCCTGTTCAGGAGAGGGACCGTGACTGGCCCTGGCCCTCTGCTCCTCTTCAGGCTGGGAGGAGGGTGCAGGTGTGGCTCAAGGAAGAGAAGATTTGTGCCTCTGACGCTGGGTCCCTTGACTCCTTGTAGGTGTCAGACATAAAGGCCCGGTGCTGAGCAGCAGCCTGATGCACTCGGAGTCGGAGCTGGACAGTGACGACGCCATCTTCACATGGCCAGACCGAGAGAAGGGCAAACTCCTGCATGGTCAGAACGGCTCCGTGCCCAACGGGCAGACCCCGCTTAAGGCCAGGAGCCCACGGGAGGAGATCTTGTAGCCACCTGGTCTGTCTCCCCAGGTTAGGGGTTGGCAGTGCTAGGGTGCAGGGCATTGCCAGGCTGGTTCTCATACCTCCCATGTCTGAGGGCAGCTGTTCTCCCAGCGTCTGCTGGTCACTCCACCCTAATACCCTCAACTAGAGCTGCTGGTACTTGAATCCAGAGACATTCTCCGGGAACCCCTGAATGAAGCTGTGAATGAAGAGGCTTCCTCTTTAAACCCGTCTGGTAGGTCCCACAAAATGTCCTCACCTCAGGGCCTCCTTTTTTGGAACCCCTCCTCTGCTCCGAGGATGGACACTGGCAGCTCCTGGCCTCCTCTCCAGCTCTTTGTTGGCAGGGTTGCTGCTTCCGGGGCATCTGCACAGCGAGGCCTGGCTGTGTCCTCCACCCCTGGGTACAGAAACAAGCACCGCCAGCCCCCTGGCTCCAAAAGCCTGCCTGCAGGCACGTTCTTTGTTCTCATCTTTGGGGCGGAGTGCGCCCTCTTGCTAGGCCCAGAGGAAGTGGTGCCCCCTCCTCACCACTGCTGCTGGGCTAGGGGAGGGCTGGCTGTTTCAGGAATGCAGAGGGGCCCCTCTGGCTGCTGGACTGTTGTGTCAGAGTAGCCAGGCTGGACACAGACTGCCACCCCTCTTCCTCCTGACCACCCTGGCTGCTTCAGGGATCAGGCCACCACTCCCTGTGCCCAGAGGAGATAGCCACAAACAGACTGGAATGTTATGGCATGAGAGTGCACGTGTGTGACTGCCCCACAGCGGTCTCCTCTGTGTCTGTCTGTCCGAGTGTCTTCTCTCTGGGTCCCTTGCATATGTGTGTGTGTGTGTGTGTGTGTTAGAGTGAGTGTGTGTACATCAACTCCTCCTAGGGCTCTTGGCTACTCATAAGGCAACCTTGACCTGGAAAGACTTTCAGCTTCATGGAACAGAGACTTCCTGAATCCCTCCGGCCCTGTCACTGGTTCCTCAGCCATGGTTTCTGGGTGTTGAGGAATGGTAGCTTTGGGGGAGTGGCTTTTTAAAAAGAAACTTACAGTTTATACTACTGCACTACAGTCTGTTGTGAGATGATTAAACATGCTATTTAATTGTACATGTGCCTGCTGGGTGTGCTGCTTTGTGCTCCATTGCTGGCCTGTACCACGGGTCCAGGCACCTGTATGTCCCTGTGACATGATGGCCTCCGGCAGGGAAGTCATGGGCCTGGCGTCAGCCTGTGTGGTGCTGGGACCCGGCCTCAGTGGCTGCTGATGGAGGAGTCACCGCCCTGGCCCCTGCTGGCCAGCTGCTCCTTGTGGCTTTTAGGGAGGGGAGTTTTCTGTCCTTCCTTTGACCTTTTGTGAGCACAGAATTGATGCATACACACACAAACACCACCCGCCCCTCTCACCCCTACCCTTACCCTGTGGACAAGCTGGGGATACAGCATGTCCCAGTGCCCAGGTTGGCCTTTATGGGCCCTGCCCTTCTCTTTTGGGTTTCCAAAGCAGTAGGGCTTGGCCCCGTGCCCCCAGAACACTGTGCAGTGTTGAAGGAACAGCTTGCTGAGCTTGTGGGATAGAAGGAGGGCTGCTGTTCGGTCTTGGACTCCCAGGAAAGGGAGGGGAGAGAAGGACCGTGGAACTCATTCTTTCCCCAAGGCCCTGTGCACAAAAACCAGCTGAAGGTGGGCGGTATTGGTTGTGTTTTTACAGGAACAGAAACAAGGCATACGAGAAGTAACTCGGTCCACACACCGTAAATGATGGAATTAGAACTCAGGCCCAGCAGAGCCTGTGCGTGGTCTGGATCAAAGTCACCTTTAAAAATGGGTTGCTGGGCCCCACCACTGTGTTTCTGATTGAGTAGGACTGGGACGAAGCGTGAGAATTTGCCTTCCTGATAAGTTCCCAGAGATGCTCTTCTCCTGGTCTGGGAACCACACTTTGAGAACCGCTGGTCTAGAAGTGCACATTCAGTGTGTCATGAATAGGAGGCAGCAGCTGACCCGTCCCGAGAGAGGGTGCAGGAAGCTCAGAGGAGTGGGAGCTTGAATCTGCCCGGAGCGCGCTGTGGGCCAGGGTTGCATGTGTTCTCGGGTGTGCAGGCCAGGCTGCCCAAGAGCAGCTGGTGGGCAGGCGATCGGGACTTAGTGAGCTTGGTGTATTGGAAGAACTTTGAAGGATCCATGAAGGAGCTACAGGACTTGATAACTTACTGGCTTTGTAGGTTTTTCTGTGTTCTTTGGGCCTCATTCCTATATCTTATCTCAGGCACAGCTCATTGAAGGATATATTTTTATCTCAGTCTCAGGTGAATAAAATAATTTTTCATCCCCTACTCCTCCCACCAAAAAAGGGACAAAACCCAGAAACCAGTGCTGCTTTCCTGGCTTGGGGTCTTGCATCGAGAAGACTGCCGTGTCCCTGTTCTTGCCTGACTCATGAAAGAGCCAGAAATCCTTGGGCTTGCTTAGGGAGAGCTAGGCTACTTCCATATGACCCTGTCACCCCAAAGGAACCCTTCTGAAATAATCCTGAATTTCAGGAGGCTGGGAGCCCCTGCCTTGACCAAACCTAGCTAAACACTCCTCCACCCTCAAAGGCCTCCATCTTTCATTTTCTAGAATGGCCAGAGGGAAGGCCAATAGAGGGCATCCTCGCATTTCTTGAAGCCCACAGGTACTTTGTGTGGAGAGGAGACTTAGTCACCAGGAAGCAACACTCAAAGAAAACCCCTCGGGCTGGAAGGCTGCAGCATGGCCTGCCTTCTGAGGGAGCAAAGGTGGGGGAGACTCTGAATCTTGTTCTTCCAGCTTCCCTTTGGCCTGATCAGTGAAGGGAGCCGGCACAGGTGGCCACACACACTGAGAGTTGTTCTCTGAGAACAAACAGGTATGGAAAGAAGGTGCGCGCAGTCAGGAGGCATGAGCCCCTGGGAAGGAGGGTTTGAGGAGCATGGATCAGGCCCTTGACTCCTTTGTGGAATTTGTGTTGAGGTTTAAAGGCCCCTATTTAGTCTCTGGTCAAACCCAGGCCACCGGGCTTCCCTGGTGGCGCAGTGGTTGAGAATCCGCCTGCCAATACAGGGGACACGGGTTCGAGCCCTGGTCCGGGAAGATCCCACATGCCGCGGAGCAACTAAGCCCGTGAGCCACAACTACTGAGCCTGCGCACCTAGAGCCCGTGGTCCGCAACAATGAGAAGCCACTGCAATGAGAAGCCCGCGCGGTGCAACAAAGAGTAGCCCCCGCTGGCCACAACTAGAGAAAGCCCGCACGCAGCAACGAAGACCCAATGCAGCCAAAATAAATAAATAAAATGTTTAAAAACCAAAAAAACCCAGGCCACCATTATGACCCCTTTCACCTACGTAACCCTCCAGTTTGTGGTTGGTGCTGGTGGTGCCTACTTAATATCCAGGATTTCCAGTGCCAGGGCTGGGGCTGTCCACTCTCGTGCCTCCCCACAAAGGCCCAGGTGAAGTGTGTGCCTCTGTGTCCAAGTGCTGCCGAACAGGTAAACTCCCCCACCCCGGGGTCCTCTCTGAGTTGCTGGGGTTTGACATTGGAGGGTATTGATCAGGCTTTTTTGGTCACAAGGAAGAAAACTAAAGTTACCTTTCATGGGAAGGCCAGCCTCTGTCCAGTTCTCAGTGCAGATACAAAAGGCTGGCTGGCAGGTTATTGCCGTGCCCTAGTCTCACCTTCTGAGCTACACTCTAGGTCCCGGTCCCCACTTCTAACTAATTATGTTCTTGTGTATCGACATCTGGTTCTCACACTGGCTGCACATTAGAATCACCTGTGCAACTTTTTAAACGTACTGATGCCTGGAACCCACACCCCATAGGTTATTGTGATTTAACTGATCTTTTATTAATTCCTCAGAATATTTGTGCACCCATACCATACCCTTGACAAGGGGGAAAACGGCCCTTAGCAGCTCAGCTCCAAAAGACTTGCAAACCAGCTGGATTTGGAGACAAAGAGGGAAAGTACCCAGACACCCAGTTCCTCTTAACCACCTCAGGGAGAAGCCCTTGAAGTTGGGTGTGGCAGAGATCGGCTGCTTGCCTAACCAAGTCCTTTTCAGGGACCCAGCTCACTTCATCTCCAGCCTTCTGCACAATATGGGCAGAAGAGAGGTGTTGCATCTTCAGCCCTGACCCATTAGAAACTTCTGTGTGATGCCCCCTCCCCCATCTGCCGGCCAGATGCAGAGGAGCACTCGGGGGACTCTGAGGCCATGGGAGAGACATGCATGGTGGAGGGAGCCCGGTTCCTAATCCACCATCTAGAAGAGAGCTGCTCTACCAGAATGGCCGTTGGATTGTGATGAGAGAAATGAACTTTATTGTACTAGCCAATGCATTTTTTTAAAAAAGTAGGGGGCTTCCCTGGCTGTCCAGTGGTTAAGACGCTGCACTCCCAACGCAAGGGGCATGGGTTCGATCCCTGGTTAGGGAACTAAGATCCCACATGACGTGCGGCGCGGCCAAAAAACAAAAATCTAATGGCTGGTGGTAAGATTGTGGGCCCAGGCTCTCCTTTGACGGGCCTCCCTGGGCCCAAGTAAGCTAGCAGGGTTGACAAAGATGCCTCAGCCCAGGGCTCTGTGACAGCCACGTGGGCTGCAGGAGGGGCAGCTGGAGAACTAAGGCATACCACAGCCTTGGCCATACAGTTCTAGGTCACACGCCCTTTGTTTTCTGAAGAGCAGACAGTAATAACTCAGATCCTCCCTTAGGATAAGGGCAACATGCTTAGGGATCCTCGGGGGTATGATTACCTGTAGTGTGTGGTTTGGGAATTTGGGGGCTTGGAGAGGAATAATTGGCAGCAATCTGAAACTTAAACTAGATCTGTGTGTGTGGGAACTTCCAATCTGTTTGACAGGCGGTATCTCAATTGTTACTATATCTTGTAGCCCAGAAAACTGAAGATTTTCAAACACCCATTTCTATGATTAAAAAATAATAATAATAATAAAATTAAAAAAGCTTAAAGGAAGAGCCAGGACAAATCCAGTGCAAAAAGTGTTTAATTCAAACTTTGTGCTGTAAATGACTACAGCATTTTAGTATTCAACTGGAAATATGGCTACATGGAGGAAAGTCATTATCTTTGTAATCTGCAGGTAACCACACACACCCTGAATCTCTGAAGGAGTCCAGTGCCCTTGAGAAAAACAATGTCAATATACACTTGGAGTCAGACCTGGGCTCCCAGTTTGAACTGTAGAGCCCAAAATGGGGAATTGAATCATGGGAATATCTGAGTCACATGCTTTTTCTTGGCATTTATTAGTTGGCTAAATAAATTGAAGCAGATAAAGTGCCATCCCCTTAGAGCAGTTTAAGCTTTCCCCCAGGCAATGTCCTCCAGCCTTCAAGTAGACTAGATTCAAGTAGGCCGCCTCCTAGCAGCCTAGAAT